AAGATTAACCAGCATTTTGATTTCCATCCTCTTTTATTTAAAATGCAAAGGCATACAGTGAAACCGGTGAGAGCTGCACTTTTTTCTCCTTATTTTAACTCAAAAGCAAACTCATTGCCATCGAGTCGGATGCAACTCATAGCGACCCCTCCTTGGGTTTCCAAGGCAGTATCACTACAGAAGTAGATTGCCCTACCTTCCTTCTGAGGAGAAGCTGGTGGGTTTGAACCACTAGCCTTCTGGTTAGCAGTCAAATGCCTTAGGCACTACACCACCAGAATATTTGTATTTTCTTCCTCTGTTAGGTCTCTATCTCACATAGGTTCAGGCTTTCACAGGTTTTAGTGTGTGTAGTAAACAATGAAGTGTTGGGCATTAACCTTCTAATTGAGTAAGTTATTCTCCAAGTATAAAGTAGCTATCTTGAATGTCATGAATTTTCAAGAAAATATTAATAGCAGTAAACGTCTAAGGCATTTGATTGCTAACCAGAAGGCTGGCGGTTCAAACCCACCAGCCACTCCTTAGAAGGAAGATTGGTCAATCTATTTCTGTAGTGATACCACCTCAGAAACCTAAGGAGGGGTTGCTGTGAGTCAGATCCAACTCAAGGGCAGTGAGTTTGTTTCTTTTAACCAGGTCTTGGGCATTGTTCTTGATGCCGGAATCATATAGGATAGAAGAGGGATTCCTGGAGGGTCTTTGTTACACTGGATTTGGAGTTATATGAAAAGATAAATCACAGTAAAAATCAATGTGTATTAAATCATTTTATTGTGGTAAAATACATATCACCCCAAATTTCCTATTTCAACCAGTCTTCAACGTATAGTTCAGTGAGTCATCACATTCAGCAGGTGCTACTATCATCTGTTTCCAGTTTTTCTCATCACTGTAACCTGTGTGCAGTACCCTTCCACCTCCCCTTCTCCCTCACCCCTGGTAACCACTAAGAAACTTTGATCTTTATACAGTTACCTTTTGTATATACCTCATATAAGTGAGAATCATTCAATATTTGTCTTTTTGTGTCTGACTTGTTTCACTCACCATGTTTTCAAGGCTCATCCATATATTAGAATGTATCAGAACTTTGTCTTTATGGATGGATAATATTTCATTGTACCTATGTACCACATTTTGTTTATCCATTTTATCTCTTGAAGGACACTTGGTTGTTTTCAACTTTTGGCTATTATAAATAATACTGCTAAGAACATTGATGTATATGTATCTGAACCCTGCTTTTAAGTTTTGGAGTATATACCTACGAGTGAAATTTCTGGGTCATGTGATAATTCCATGTTTAATTTTTTGAGGAACCACTAAAGTGTTTCCCACAGTGCCTGTACCATTTTACATTCCCACCAGCAGTGGGTGAGTGTTCCAAGTATAAAGTCTTAAATGAGTGATGGCAACAGTAGATTCTGTTTTGAGGGGAAGAAGGGTGGGCCACGATGCTAACAATAACATGTGTATTGTGTTGCAAGTTTTGCTCTTGCCACTGCAGCGCCAGGAGATATGAGCCAGATAACCTGGGGATACTCGATACTGGATTGTATTAGTTGACAATACATGGTTATTAGTGAGGGAAAAGAATGATTGAGGAGCTGTTCTGCCACATTAGCTTGAGTGTAATTGTTGTCTATTTCAGGGTTTGCTAGGGTACCTGAGAAGGTTCCCTGGGGAAAAATACCACACAGAGAAGCAGCAGCAAATCCAATCCATTTGCACCTAAGCATTATATAAAGCTGGAACTGGGAAGTAGCTTTTTTCAGATGCTTGCACTATTTATGTAGGAACACTGTAGTAACATAGCTGTTGAAGGCCCCCCTTCCCCAGCCAAAAAATAACTGCAGTTAATGTTTGAGTTAATTTAGAGGACACATCATTTACATGTTTTCTTGAAATGTCTTGGAAACCACTTTAAGGTATTCTGTATAGAAGACAAAAGAACCAAAGTATCTAAAAGCTGAGCACCCAGATGATGGGGTTTCAGCAAATTACAACAATGTTGTGTTAGCTGACTGGTTCCCTCACAGCAGTTTATTTAAGAGTTCCATGCTGTTATTTGTAAAGGGCATTATAATTATTTGTAGTGGAAATCTGTTAAATAAGATTTGGGCTACTATGAATGGTTTGAGGAGAAGGAAGTATGAGGGAGAGGCTAAACCTTTGAAGTGCCAGACCCTCAAATGACTTTCACTTGCTGCCTGTCAGATCACTGTTGAGTGGTTCTCAACTCTGGCTGTAGGTTAGAATCACCTGGGGATCTTTAAAAATTACTAGCACGTAGATCCCCTATAAGGAGCATAGTGGATAAGGCATCTGGCTGCTAACCAGAAGGTCAGTGGTTCAAACCGGTCAGCTGCTCCATGGAAGGCGAATGGGGTGATCTACTTCTATAAAGATTTACAGCCTCGGAAACCCAATGGAGGTCAGTCACTGTGAGTTGGAATTGACTGGATGGCAGTGATTTTCTTTCTTTTTTTTTTTTTAGAGCTCTGGTAGCGTAGTGGGAGCTCTGGTAGTGTAGTACCTAAGGCACTTGACTGCTAACCAGAAGGCTGGTGGTTCGAACCCACCAGCCACTCCTCAAAAGGAAGTTTGGGCAATCTACTTCCGTAGTATACTGCCCCGGAAACCCAAGCAGCGGTCCCTATGAGTCAGGGCCTACTCGGCGGCACATAAGAGCAACAACAAATAAGGAGATCTGGTGGCATAGTGCCTATGGCATTTGACTACTAACCAGAAAGATAGCAGTTCAAACCCACCAGCCACTCTGTGGAAGGAAGACTAGGTAATTCTGTTCAGGTTTACTACCTTGGAAACGTAAAGGGGAGTCACTATGTGTCAGAATTGACTTGATGGCAGTGAGTTTGGTTTTGGTTTGGAAGTCCCCTATGGGGAGTAAAGATGGGAGGCAGTAAAGATTTACTGCCTCGGAAACCCAGTGGAATGGTTGCTATGCGTCAGAATCAACACAATGGCAGTGAGGTTTTTGTTTGTTTGTTTGTTTTTAGGTCTGCTATTCAAGGGGCTCTGGTGGTACTGGGGTTAAGGCATTGGGTTGCTAACCAAAAGGTCGGCAGTTTGAACCCACAGGAGAAAGATGAGGCAGTCTGCTGCCATAAGATTTACAGCCTTGGAAACCCTACGGGGTTCGCTATGAGTTGAAATCGACTCAATGGCAGTAGGTTTATGTCCCCTATTCAGTCTTTTTCTTTCTCCATTTATCGTGATGTTGTTTATTGGTCCGGTTGTGAGGATTTTTGTTTTCTTTATGTTGAGTAGAAGGTTGAAGTCATCAGGGATTTCATTTTACTTGAATCCACAATCAGTGCCCATGGAAGCAGCAGTCAATCAGATGATATATTGAATTGGGCACATCTACTGCAAAAGACCTCTTTAAAATGTTAAAGAGCAAAGATGTTACTTTGAAAACTAAGGTGTTCCTGACACAACTCATGATATTTCCAGTAGCTTCGTATGCATGTAAAACTTGGACATTGAATAAGGCAGACCCCAGAAGAATTGACGCATTTGAATTGCAGTATTGGTGAAGAATACTGAAAATACTGTCAACTGCCAAATCTACCTCTTGGAAGAACTATAGCCAAACTGTTGTTGTTGTTATGTGCCCTTGAGTCAGACCTGACTCATAGTGACCCCTCCTTGGGTTTCCGAGGCAGTATCACTACGGGAGTAGATTGCCCAACCTTCCTTCCGAGGAGTGGCTGGTGGGTTTGAACCGCCAGCCTTCTGGTTAGCAGTCACGTCCCTTAGGCACTACGCTACCAGAGCTCCTATAGCCAGACTGCTCCTCAGAAACAAGAATGGCTGAACTTTGTCTCACCTGCTTTGGTCATGTTATCAGAAGGGACCAGTCCCTAGAGAAGGATATCATGCTTGGTATAAGTAGAGCATCAGCAAAAAAAAAAAAAAAGGGTGAGGTGGGGTGGGGGGAGAAGACCCTCAACGAAATGGATTGACACTGGCTACCGTGATGGGCTCAAGCATAGCGAAGATTTTGAGGATGCACAGGACTGGGCAGTGTTTTCCTTCTGTTGTACATAAGGTCACTATGAGTCAGAGCCGACTCTACAGCACCAGACAGCAAGAACAGGTGCCTATTGAATCGAAATCTCAGAATTAAGAGGTGGTTGTTGTTATGTGCCTTCGAGTCGGACCCAACTCATAGCGACCCCTCCTCGGGTTGCCCAGGCAGTGTCACCATTGAAGTAGATTGCCCAACCTTCCTTCCGAGGAGTGGCTGGTGGGTTTGAACCACCAGCCTTCTGGTTAGCATTCAAGTGCCTTAGACACTATGCCACCAGAGGATGAATTTTGAGGAGGAGCAGGCTTTTAAAATACATTGATATATTTTTTTTAAAGTTCTCCAAGTTCTAACATGCAGCCAGAGCTAAAAACCACTGTAGCTACTTAACCTTTAGTAAGTTGTAGGAAACATTTAGCAACACATATATAAAATACTTGCTAACTGTAAAATAACTGTAAAGTAGACTTTCCCTTCTCTCTGTCAAATAAGTTATATTTTTTTCCTCCTTAGCCAGTTGCAGATTCTGAAGAATCAAGTGGGAAGAGATGGAAGAAGAGATTTTAGAGAGGTCCCACAGCCTTCTTTAGCAAAGGGTGGAGAGGGAAGCATTGTTTACATGTCTTTAAGGAAGTAGAAAATATGGCATGGTCTCAATCAATCCAATTTATGTAACTTTGAGGGATGTGATCTGTTTGTGTCAAAATAATGAGGCATATAATACGTTGTATTTAACATGTGTGGGGAATTCTTTGCAGAGTAATTAGCATTCCTTTCTTCTGCCTGTATTCAGAGGAAACATACCATTCACACCCTCTCTGTGTTCACATTTTCCAGTGCGTTGGAGAGCTTTTTTTCAATAGAAATCTTTGTCCATTTCCTAAGAGGACTTGGATTATAGTTGAAGAAACTTAGCATATCTTTTTTTTTGTTTTTCCGGCAGGAATTGATTTTAAAATCAGAACGATAGAACTAGATGGAAAGAAAATTAAGCTTCAGATATGGTAAGTAAACACACACACAGAGCTTCTCTCTTAAACGAGAATTAGAAATTGAAACGTGAATTGTGAGAAGTTAGAGGCATCCTCTGATAGCTAAAGCATCTTCTTTCTAAAATCAGAACCAAGGGAGAAATGGGTAAGTATTGAACATCCTTTAAAGGTTACTCCACCAAGAATGGGAAAGTGAGGAATGGCATCAGAAGAGATTTGAGCCAAAACTTGATTTTATAGGGGAAGAAACTAAATTCTGAAGAGTGCAAATTACCTTTTCATAGTTGTTGCAAATCACCTGTGAACTGAGATAAGGCCAAGTGATCAGGTGGCAGGAACCCTGAACAGGAAGTACAGATTGAGGTTCTAGCTTGACTGCCTCTAAATCGAGGTGACTTTGAGCCGGGTGCTTCCCTTCTCTTAGCCTGTCTTTCCTCGTTTATAAATTGATTGGTTGGATTGATGACATTTGAATTCCCTTTCTACTCTGATAGTTTATGATTTTTTTTTTTTTTTTTTTTTTTTGCTTATTCTCATTAAGTACAGAAATGAGGAGGACATTGGACTGGAAAGTAAGGGAGAAAAGGTCCTGTCTCCCTTCTCTGACATTGTAATATGCAAAGCAAAGATCTCTGGTGATCATCTTCCTATGGCTGGTAAATTCCTGAAGAATTTGTCAAATGCCAATTAATAAATGTGGTTTTCTCAGATTACCAGGTTGAATATTTGTAGCTTGTATTTGGAATCTCTTAGATTTCTTTTAACTTCATAAAAAGGAAAAAACCAAAGCTGGCTTAATTACTTTCAGTAGAGTGCCTTGCATGGTACTGTATGGGTTTGGGGCCCTGAGGAAGGTTTTGGGTGATGTTTGCTGATCTCCTGTGTAATGACAGCAGTAGACAAAGTTTACACATGTAGAGCAGTGTAGACTAAGAAGGAGACAAGGCTAAATATATGTCAGCTTTTTCTTTAGGCTCTTATTCTTCCTTGAATCTCAGACCTGGGATTAAATTAGGACATGATATTGAAATCTACCAGCTCTTCTTTTACAGAGGAGAAAACTGGAACTCAGAGTGGTAAAGTCTATCTGAGAACATATGTCTGGTTTAGTAGTAAAACTGGGACAACTATCCATCTTTTCTGGAACATAGCATCAGCTTCGTATGCAGCCTAGCATACTGGGTCTCTGTATATATTTCCTTGGACAGCATGGTAAAAGTTACCACAGGTTACCCTTTTTACGGGTGATATTTAGTAAACAGATAGAACAGTATTTTTTAGAGGGAATCAAAGATTTCATTTCTGATTCCATGCTCCACAGTCCTGATCAAAGCAATAAGGAACACAGATTGTTGTGTGTTTCCAGGAGCCTGAGGACAATCAGCTAATTTGAACTTAATATAGAGTAGCCAAAATATCATGGCACTATCTATTCATTATTGCCCTCAGCAGCAAAATAGTGTCCGTTCAGTCCTCATGACCTAATTTAATGAAGTAGGGTTTCTTTTCCATCCTCACTGCAAGGCTGGTTCTAATGTTACAATCGAGAAAATACAGTTTTATCTACTTGACCTCTGTTTTCCCCATGATGTGTTTTCTGTGTACTGCACAAGTGCCCCATGTATGTAAACCTGTCAATGAGAGAATGACAGGGTAAGAGGACTTTGGTGTGAGTCCTGACTCTGCACGGAACAGCTGATAACCTAGGATATGGGAGTCTCATCCCAAACAGGGGATAAACTGTTTCGTGGCAGAGCTGGGCCCATAGCCCTCCTGAGCCTGCCTTCTCTTCTACAGAATGAGGATGATAGTGAGATCCACTGTGCTGGGCTGTAGGGGGGCATCATGTGAGCACAGCGTGAGAGAGTTTTGTAAAGTAGACATAAATGTTAACTTGTTTATTGATGTTTTTTAATTTACTATATTTATTTCCCTTGGTTTTTAATCTCATTTGGGTTTGGTATACATTAGATTTCCACAAAATGCCTCTTTCTCCCTCGCAATAAAATCGTACAATTTAGTTTGTCTTAGTAGCACAGGTAGTGAATTAGTTCTGGCTGTAAGTGGCAAGTCTGGGAATATTGATTTTTCCCAAATGTCAAGGAAATTTAACTTCCTTTAATTGGATTGCTTCTATAAATGTAATTAGGAAGTTTTACGTTTTTTAGAATGTGTTTTAATGGCATTCCATCAGCTGAAAAACAAGAATATGGGAGAAGGTTATACAATTTTGAGGTGCTGTTCCTGTTTAAAAAGTCTTTGGAAACATTGCCAAGGATTATGTGTTCAACTCCAGTCTCCCTTTCAATCATGGGCTCCATAGCTGAAAACGTTCTTGAGGAGATCCATTTTAGTGTGCTGTGCTGAGCAGAATTTGCACAGTAGTAAGCCCAGCACAGTTGTTTGCTTTGTACAGAAATCGCACTTTCAATCAAGAGAGTAAAATGTCTTAATCATTAAGCACTTACAAAAATGATTCTAACTACCTGCAGGAGTCCAAGAATTTAGAACTATTCTCTATTGCCTCCCACGTGCATTTGAACTAATATTTCTTGCCATTTCCTAGCAGGACCCATGTATTTTCCTGTGGCTGCTTTTATCATCAAGGTCCAAGTTTTTCACACAAGTCATTGTGAGCTCCTGACAGGTTCTGGTGGCCACTCGTACCTCCAGATGGCAGACAGACGGCAGGTTCCCTTTGTGCCCCATTCCCCTTTCCTTCAAACCACTGTACTTGTGAGCAGACCAGAATTATATCTCCTACAGCTCAGAGCCTCTCCTCAGTGATACTGGGGATGACTTTTGAAACCACTCTCTCCTTTGTTTCAAATTTTAGGGACACAGCGGGCCAGGAAAGATTCCGAACAATTACAACAGCGTACTATAGAGGAGCCATGGTGAGTGTGGTTTTAGGGTTTTGTAACTCTTCAGGTGAAAGTAAAACATGAACATTAATTTGGCAAGATTATAGGTTTCAAGCTGGATTCTAGTACAATGGGCGGAAATAGATTTCTTGATATGAAAACAAGACATTTAAAAGGGATTTTTGTTATGTTTAGTAACTGTGTACTTTGCCAGTGGTCTTCATAATAATAATCAGACAATCGATTAGCTTGTTGATGTTCTAAAGCTCCTTCACACAGTCTGAGGTGATTTTATATTCTTATGATTTTTCCTTTTATTAAGATCTTCTGCCAAATCTTGGTAACTTACAGTGCCATGGTTTACTGCATCTTCATTTCCTGCACCTTCTTGTCATTTACCTCTACCCCCATCACCCTTTATCTCTCACCACCTCCACAATATCCACTGCTTATGTGTGGAGGCTCTTTGGCAGTGTTCTGCGAGCTAACCAGGAAGTAGCTAAATAATCTATGACTTTGAGGCTTAGAGTCTGGTGAACTTTTTCTTTCCTTTTAACTTATTGTGGTTTGGATGAAAGTTTATAGAGCAAATTGGTTTTCCATTCAACAATTCGTGCACATTTTGTGACGTTAATTGGAATCCCCACAATGCAACAGCACTCCTCCCTCTTCTTACTTTGTTTACCATTTCTTTAGTCCTCCTTTTCTGTCCATTCCTGCCTTCTGACCTTTATCCCTAGACAAATGCGGCCCTTTTGATTTCATATGGTTGATTGCTCTGAGGAGTGTATACTTCCCTGGTGTTCCTGGTCACCTTGTAGGCCGATTTATCATTTGGCTGAAAGTGAGCCACAGAGATGAGTTCAGTTCCAGACCTAAAGGGTGTTTAAGCACCATAGTCTTGGGGGTTCCACTAGTCTCTGTCAGACCAATAAGTTTGGTCTTTATATTATTTTGAGTTTTGTTCCACATTTTTCTCTGAATCAATCCAAAACCTCCTATTGTGTTCCTTTTCATAGCAATCAGCAGTGGTAGCCAGGTGCCATCTAGTTCTTCTGGTCTCGGGATCATGGAGGATTCATGTTGTCCATAGTCCATTAGATTGTTTCCTTGTGTCTCTCATTTTTTTCACTCTTCTTTTCTCCAGGCAGGGAGATGGATGGCTGCTCACCAGCTTTTAAGACCCCAATTGCTACTTACCAAAGTAGGATGTGTAAAATATTGTCTGTGTGTCCCATACCAGTTGACCTTGGTGTCTCCTGAGATGATGGTCCTGAGACCCCGGGCAGCATAGTGTTTGGTGAATCTTGACTACCTAGTCCTTCTGTGCTACCTCCTGGTCTTAAACCCTTGTTATCATAACTTCATCACTTGGTTATTTTCCATCCTAAGATGCTTCATTCATTGAACCCATTTATATTGCTTGTCAGCTCTGAACAGGGGCTATGTGGTGCTGGGAGTTCATGTATAAATAAAGCAGCTTAGAAACTAGAACATCAGGCCCAGACCAGGGCTTTTATCTCTGGTTTTAAGCCTAATCCCTAAATTCACAGTTCAAGTTGAGGCTGGAACTTTTATGAAACCCAAAATACTCAGAAAGTTTTTGAAGGGTGTGTCTCTGAGACTATGAAACTAACCTGTAGATTGTTGCCATCATACCTAGCCCATTACTCAAAAAACTCTTTTGCTCCTGAGTAGTGCTGGGGTGACCAAGCTGAACAGGATGATGGCCATCTTTTTGTCTCCAGGAAGGTGTGGTTTGAATCCACAAATCCCTTCATTATCATGCTGCCCTCCTTTCCTCCCCTACTGCCACTCAGCCTCAACTATTTGGGCAACAGTAACTCATCTCCACAAAAAGATAGTTGTGGTGTTTGCTATCAAGTCGGATTCGACTCATAGCAACCCCTCCTTGGGTTTCTGAGGTGATATCACTATGGAAGTAGATTGTCCAACCTTACTTCTGAGGAGTGGCAGGTGGGTTTGAGCCGCCAGCCTTCTGGTTAGCATTAGGCACTGTGCCACCAGAGCTCCCACAAAAAGATTAGAGATCCCTTTTTTTAAAATCTTGTCACCTTTGTATTATATACTACTAAGCATTGTATATGGGAGCACTGGTAGCATATTGCCTAAGGCACATGACTGCTAACCAGAAGGCTGGCGGTTCAAACCCACCAGCCACTCCTCGGAAGGAAGGTTGGGCAATCTACTTCCGTAGTGATACTGCCTCGGCAACCCATGGAGGGGTCGTTATGAGTTGGGTCCAACTTGATGGCACATAACAACAACAAGCATTGTATATGTGTTCTCTTTATACCACCGTAATAATCATTTTAAGATTGTAAAAGCAAACCCACTGCCATCGAGTAGATTCTAACTCCTGCCGATCCCCATTGGGTTATATACATCTTTGTGGAAGTAGACTGCCTTAGCATCCTCCCATGGAGCGTCTGGTGGGTTTGAAGCACCAGCCTTCTGGTCAGTAGCCAAGTGTCTTACCCACTACACCACAAGGGCTCCTTTTATGATTGAAAAGAGTCATCATTTGAAGAAAGAGAGTTGCCAGCTGCTCTCTGTTTTGCTTAGATTGGAATCAGAGGAGGAGGGACTTACCTTGTATTCCAGGAGGAGATTTGTTTATTTGTTTTCCCCAGGAAGAACTGTAGTGATAACTTAGGACAGCTTAACACTGGACAACTTGAATGTAATCATTGTCACTGAATTGTCCATGTAGAAATTGTTGAACTGGTTTATCTTTTACTGTGCATATTTTCACCAGTGAGTGGGCAGGAACACAGAGAATGTGGGGGCATTCTCAGTTGGATGTCTAGCTGTAGTTCATCATATGATGAAAGAGGTCTTGAGATGTATTGTTTGATTTAGATTTGGGGATTGTCTGGCTTTTTCACATACCCTGCTGCCTCGTCTTTCCTCACATTACTTCGTAACTTCAAGTAATTAGAAATTGCTGCTCTTGTAAGTTGCTGTTGTTGTTGTTAGGTTCTGTCGAGTTTTCTCCGACTCATAGCAACCTTATGTACAACAGAATGAAACACTGCCCAGTCCTTTGCCAGACTTACAGTCCCTGCTATATTTGACCCCATCATTGCAGCCACTGTGTCAATTCATCTCATTGAGGGCCTTCCCCTTTTTCGTTGACCCTCCACTTTACCAAACATGATAATCCTCCAGGGATTGGTCCTTTCTGACAACACGACCAAAGTAGGTGAGATGAAGTCTGGCCATTCTCGCTTTCAAGAATCATTCTGTCTGTACTTCTTCCAGGACAAATTTGTTAGTTCTTTTAGCAGTCCATGGTATTCTTAGTATTCTTTGCCTACACCACAACTCAAAAGCATCTCTTCTTCAGTCTTTCCTATTCATTGTACAGCTCTCACATGCATATGAAGCGATTGAAAATACCGTGGCCTGGGTTAGACACACCTTAATCTTCAGGGAGACGTCTTTGCTCTTCAGCACTTTAAAGAGGTCTTTTGCAGCACACTTGCCCATTGCAATACGTCGCCTGATGTCCTGACTGCTCCTTCCATTGGTGTTGATTGTAGAACCAAGTAATATGAAGTCTTTGACAACATCAGTCTTTTCTCAGAGTAGTGTGGTTTTTTCCATTTTGAAGGCAGAGATTTTTGTCTCTTTGTTGTACTCTAAAGCCAGTGCCCACAATAGTGCCTGACATATTAGATGCTCAGTGAACAATGAACTTTGAGCAATGAAATCAGTGGAAAATGGCATACCTAGAAGCAATCTTAGGTAACTCTTCAGGAAATGCTGCTCTGCTCGATTTTTTTGGCTCTCTCAGGTCATCTGTTCCAGTGGGATGTGGAGCCATCTGTTCTTACTGGCGCACACCATTTTCAGTAAGTGGTGGTTATAGCAGGTTTCCTTTGGTTGGTTTGGGTATGCGGCACGTTGATAAGCACTGTCCAGGAGTCTGCCAGAAAACAGTTTCAGAAATACAGAAGTACTTAGGTCTGTAGAGCTTAGTGTTTGATTGACTGTGGAGGGAAAAGTGATGCCCAGGTGTCTACTTGGGCTCACTGGCTGAGTTGTATTGGCTTCAACAAGATGAGAGTACAGGAGGGATAGAAGATTTAGAAGTGAGGAAGACAACATCATGTTTTCCTTAGTTGAGTTGTGGTGACTATGGGAAATACCTTGGTGCTGATGTCCAGTCTGTGGTCTCTAAGACACATCTGGCCCCTACCTACCTCTTCAGTCTCATCTTGTACCCTTCTCCCATTGAATCTGTGCGTTCTTGCCAAGCTGATTTTATTTCTAGTGGGCTGAGGGCTTTCATAGAGTACAAGATATTCATAACACATCGGTTATGTGCCAGGCACTGGGGGCTTTCCCTCTTCACCTCATCCCTAACCCCTTTGCCCAGTTCAAGTCTGCTTAGTTCTCAGGCCTTGGTTTTAATGTCATTTTCTCAGGGAAGCCTTCCGTGACCTTTCCAACCCCTCAACTCTTATCCCAGATTAAGTTACATCTCTTGTCTATGCACTCAGAGTATCCTGTGCTTCCTCATAGCAGTTATCAAATTATTAATTATATACTTGTGGTTCATTGTCTGTTTCCTTTGCCAGCTATCCACGAGAGGAAGGACCTTGTTGATCTTATTCACAGCTGGTAGTACCTAGCATACTATCTGGCACATAGTAAGTGCCCACTAAATATTTGTTGAATGGATAGATGGATGAGTAGACGTGGTACTTAGTACAGGAGTGTGGTCTGTTGTTACTGTTGTGTGCCTTCGAGTAGATCCCATCATAGCAACTCTACGGGACAGAGTAGGGGTCTCCTGAGCTATATCTCTATGGGAGCAGATTGCCAGGTCTTTTCTTCCATGGAGTTGCTGGTGGGCTCTAACTGCTGATCTTATGGTGAGCAGCCGAGTTCTTAACCATTGCACCACCAGGACTCCTTAAGTGTGGTCTAGAGGTATAGATAAGGTAATAGTTAACATACAGGTGTTAGCTGAAGCAGTTGGAAGGTGAACCCTTTAGAAACACCAGACATAGAGTCTATAAATTTATGACAACGTCTTTCATTAAACCTCTATAGCAATGTGTTATATTCTAAGTGTCTGTGATTTACTTAGGTAAATAGTGACATTCTGATGAGCCAATATAAAAAAATAATTTTAAAAGCAGTATCGTGTCAATCTTACTAGAGAGTAGAAGGAAGATAGTTTCTATTTGGATTAAATAAGTGCACAATAGAAGTGATTTCCTCTTCCTCTCAATGTTATCTCTGTTTTACTTAAATGCACTTTCAGTGCCAGTTGGTGCTGGTTCTTATCATGTGAGGTCGGGTAGAAGGGTGTATCACCTTTACCATAATCACTAATTCATTAGAGTGAAAATGTTAACAGAGTTTTTATTTATTTACATGGTGAGACAGGAAGAATTTAAGTCTCTGTATTTTTCAAATTTATTAGTCCCTTTTATGAAAAAAGAAAACTAATAAAAGGTTCCTGGAGGGGAGGAGGACATGGACATCAATATTCTATAGCTTTAAATATATAAAATACTAAATATCTTTTCTTTCTTCACTTATAGGGAATTATGCTGGTCTATGACATCACAAATGAGAAATCCTTTGACAATATTAAAAACTGGATAAGAAACATTGAAGAGGTATATATGGAAAGGGGATGCTGATCCTGGAGACAGTCCTGCTGGGTGCTCCTAAAAAGTCTCCCTCGGTTTCTCTGAGACAGCTGAGCTGTTGAGAAGGAGGGCATGGGTAGCTTGGGCCCTCCCACTGAGGAGCACCTGAAGGCTTGATCCTGTTCTGCCTGTCTGTGGTGGGCAGACAAAGGAGTGAGCTCACAGAGTTTCATAGTTGGACCAGAGCTTGGAAATTATTTAAAACAAATCCCCATGTTACACATGAGGAAACCAAGGCCAGAGAAAAGTGACTTGCCTGTACTCATACAGCCTTTAAAAAGGGCCAACCCACTGCCATCAAGTCGAATCCGACTCATAGTGATCCCCATTGGGTTTCCAAGGTGGTAAATCTTAAAGGAAGTAGATTGCCCCATCATCCTTCCTCGAGCAGCTGGTGGATTTGAACCAACAGACTTCTGGTTGGCAGTCAGAAGACTCGGGCACTGTACCACCAGAGCTCCTTTAAAAAGGACAGTCAGCAGTAGAGCATCTGGTTCCTAGGTGCTGTCTATCAGTCTGTTTGACTAGCAAAAATGTATCTACCCTAGCAATTTAACGTTTTGCCTTTTTAACCTTTTCTCCATCTTAGATATTTGAAAGCTAGGTCTATAAATTGGTTTAATTCCAGATTGATTAGTATTAAGATTTTTCTCTATCTTTGCTATTTCAAAGAGAAATGTGACTCTGAGATAATTGTGTACACATCTCTTAACAACCCACCTGAATTTATTTTTGAAATAGTTGAGAATCCAGAATACCTTTCCTGTTGAGTCACTGAGGACCAGAGTTTGTTGTGGTGTTTTGTTTTGTTTTCCTTCTTGACACCAGCATATATTTGTATGTTTGTGGTTATATGACCGTACATCTTTATTTCTGTTTGTTCACGTGCAAAACGAGATGTAAGACTGAAGTTCCAGAACCTATGAAAAATAGTTTCATGTTGACGCTTTTCCTCTTCTCCCCTCTTCTAAACTTTTCTCTGAACCAGGCCTTGTTTTGAGTTAAAGATTATTTGTCTTATTATTAAATTTATGGCTATGTTTCTGACAGGTCAGCATTTGTCTTTTGGATAACTGTGATTTTTCTATAAAAGCATACTATTTTCTCCCTGCAGCATGCCTCTTCAGATGTTGAAAGAATGATCCTGGGTAACAAATGTGATATGAATGACAAAAGACAAGTATCAAAAGAAAGAGGGGAGAAGGTAAATTTGAATTGCATACATAAAGGTTGAAATCTACTCTTGTTAAGCATTTGTTTTCTTGGTATTATGTAATTTTTGATTTAAGTTTCTAAAATACCTATGTTTCAGTCCTTTACCATTATAAACAACAAAGGGATATAATCCATGCTTACATGGTGTGAATTAGTATTCCAGGTCCAACTCCATATACTGTGTGGTCATGACTCATTCCTAAAGAATTTGCTAATGTTTCTGGGAAATACAAATTGGTCCTTTTCAGAATTCCTGCAGCTTAGAGTTCAGGCTATTTCTTTTGATACCTGTGTGAAAATGTCCAGTTTTGAAGTTAACAAAATTCATTCTTTTTGAAAAAAGTTATGGGATAAGTGATATTTCAACAGTTATCATTTTCTAATTCATGATTTTATTAAAGAATTTTCTAGTACACATTAGTTGTAGGTCACTATGGATACATTGTAACTCATCAAGCTATGAATACTGTTACAAGTTCTTTATAGACATGTCTATATTTTGTGCCCTGTAAAGCAAAAGAGTTTATTTTATATACAGATTTCTGTGACATTTTCTACATTGACTTAGAGGCTTCACTTTGCTTACTTTTTAAGTCTTGGAATTTTGCTTTGGCCTTTTTTGGTGGTAGATGCAGAATGCATTTGTTTTTCATTCTGACTGACAAACTTTTTTCCCTGAAAATACTCACTTAATCTTCATGATTGTAAATGAGCTGAGCATTCTCTTTGGGAATAGATAACAATATGGAAAAGTTCATAATTTGTTTCAATCAACAGAAATCAAATCGAAGAAAAATATAATATTTTAAGCTTTTGCTTCTATTATATATAAGTTTATCAAAAAATTATTAAAATCAGTACAGTAATTGTTGGAAAATTGTACTTTGGGAGCAGATAAAAGAGGCCAATGAATCTCAAGTTAATACTAGAGAGGGTACCCGTCTCACTGTTTTACTTGTAAGTATGTTGTTGTTGTTATTTGCCGTCGAGTCGGACTCGACTCATAGCAACCCCTCCTTGGGTTTCCGAGGCAGTATCACTACGGAAATAGATTGCCCAACCTTCCTTCCAAGGAGTGGCTGGTGGGTTTGAACTGCCAGCCTTCTGGATAACAGTCAAGTGCCTTAGGCACTACGCTAGCAGAACTCCCACCTGTAAGTATATTAGAGAGCTAAAACTACAACAGAAAAGAAGGAAGTACTAAAACAATTTAAAGTGGAAGTGTCCCTTTTTTCTTTTTTTTACTGATGATGATTAAGTTAAATGGTTAAATTCTAAATATAATAGAAGAAGGTAAAAGTTTAAAACCACAGGAGCTCCAAAATATACACTCTACTTTTGGGTCTCTGAAAAACATAACAAATACAAATATTCAAGTATCTCTCACTGAATTTTAAATATTTCCGTTTTCCTTCCAGTTAGCAATTGACTATGGGATTAAATTCTTGGAGACAAGTGCAAAATCCAGTACAAATGTAGAAGAGGTAAGGAAGTAATGTTTGGTGACTTAGTATCATCACTGGCACTAGTGCTTAGATGCTTATGTTGAAGCAACACTTAAAGCTTTGTGCCAACTCACCTCTATTTCATGAACTTTTCCGCTTCTGACTTTTATGGGGTCCGTGGCTGTTGAATTTCTGGCTCCCAAGCTTCCACATGGAGCTCTATTAGACTGTTCATTTAAGATTGACTGAACAGAAGATGGAAGTTTAGTTTTAAGTTAAGTTTTGCCCTTTGTTTGGGAAGCTGGAATTGCTGGGCTAGCAGACCAAGCCCGTCCTCTGCTCATTCATCATCATTCAGGAGGAACCATGCCTGGTAAAAGGAGATAGCGAAAAAGAGGAAGACTATCAATGAGATGGATTGACACAGTGCCTGCAACAATGGGCTCAGAGTTAGCAGTGATTGTGAGGATGGTGCAGCATCAGTCAGTGTTTTGTTCCATTGTACATAGGGTTACTGTGAGTCCACATTGACTTGACACACCTAACAACATGTTCTCCTGTACTAGCTTGTAGCAGAAGAGCCTAACTTTCATGTCTGTAGTCTCTCAAGAGATTAAACTGTTAGTTCATTGAAGAGATCCCCTTAGCATACATATTTGGAGTATATTAAACATGATCTATTGTAATATAATGGCATTTACTAGAAATCAGAAAGTGTGTTTATTAGAGAGTAAGTAACTTTAATGTAAAATTTCAGTAAGTTAATCATTAAAGAAAACCATATTGTCTAAAGTCTTTTAGGAAAAAAATTTCTTCACTTAGGCAGAATTGTTAATATTTAATTTATAAGAAATGTTTTTTTAAAACCGTTGATGGAAAAAAACTCCAAACCTTTTAAAAGAAATTTTTAAGAGGATTTATTAGAGAAGAAAAACCATTAAAACAGGGGAAATAACTAGCTCACACAAATGTAAACTGTTGAATCCCAGAGAAAGGATCTCAAAACAGGGATGGATGTAGGCCTAAAGCAGGAAATTACAAGAAAATCGTTGATTGGCTTATCTTCAGTTGGGGTCACAAACCAAAAAAACAAACCCAACCCACTGTCATTGAGTCAGTTCTGACTCATGGCAATCCTATAGGACAGAGTTGTTGTTGTTTGTTGTTATGTGCCGTCGAGTCAGACCTGACTCATAGCGACCCCTCCTTGGGTTTCTGAGGCAGTATCACTATGGAAGTAGATTGCCCAACCTTCCTTCCGAGGAATAGCTGGTGGGTTTGAACCACCAGCCTTCTGGTTAGCAGTCAAGTGCCTTAGGCACTAGAACTCCCTAATAGGCTGTAAATCTTTAGAGAAGCAGACTGCCTCATCTTTCTCCCATGGAGTGGCTAGTGGGTTCAAACCACCAACCTTCTGGTTAACAGCCAAATGCTTTAACTACTGCATTCCTGGGGTCACAGAGGGGAGGGTTAAATGAAGCAGAGAATTGGCTACCATTGGATAATATGAAGTGGGCTAAAAAGATTAGTTACAAGAGTTAATTGGAAAAGTTCTTTCCGGCACAGAGATTTACAGTCATAGTCACAAGATGCTTACAATGCATACCCTCCAGAACAGGTTGTAAAAACGTCTGGCTTGATGTAAAACGTTTCTTGGGGATGCCTGGTACCAGAGCTTGGTGCCAAAACCCCTTTCATGGAAACTGTTCACTCAAGCGAAATTTTTCTGTTTGCCTGGAGTCTAGGGAGTTAGATAATGGTTTGACTCCTAGGGCTTTTCCTGAGACATTGTTTCTACGTCCCTGTCATGAAAGGAATATTTCTTAAGCCCATTTTACACAAATGTGGTGTTCAGAGTCCTTTCTTAGGTTGCATTCCTTCCAGATCCTGACTTGACTGCAGAGAAAATATCTCCTTAGCTACCCATAGTTGCTAGCCAGATAAAGAGCCTAAAGGTCAGGCATGGGTAACTTCAGTTTTAATTTTGCCGAACGCAGCAGAATATGGATTTAGTTCAGGCATTTTACTTTGGCTAAAGCTTCAGGAAAATTTGTCTTATAAAACTAACCATAAAAGTAATATATGTTTATGTAGGAATATAAGTTAATACATACAACTTACTTAATAGTATGCTGATGGTTTTATAAACGTTCAGTTTCTTAGGCCATTCATCATAACATCTTGACCAAATATCAAGACATAAATGCCCTTATTGGCCAGTGCACACTAATCAGAGGTTTTCCTTTGTTTTAAATAACTATTAGCACACACTTTTTTTCAGGTTGGCTAATGAGTGTTAGGAAACAGGAAGCCCTTACGGATTTATTTACATAAGTGTAGATAAGCAGAAAAATGCTTCCTTCTGCCTGCTGCAAAAGGATTTCCCTCCATCAGAGAGAAGGAACCCTCTTAAGTCAGCTTTACTGGTGGAGAAGAGCTTGATCACGGAGATGGCCGACAGGTTTTCTCCCACAGAATGAGCTCCTACGACCCTGACGTAACAGAGCAGGCTTAGGTCTCTGTTAGTACCTGCACCCTGATCACAGTGGTGGCCTCGAGAGGGCATTGAGCTGTGGAAGTATGAAACTGCTTATTCTAGCTAGGTAGTCTACAAAAGTTAGCAGTTTTCCCAGAGCTTAAAATTAGTGTAGTTTGCCTCATAAAAACCGTCATGGAGCTTACTTACCAAACTCACCACCATCGAGTCGAATCCGACTCATAGTCATCCCTCTTTGGGTTTCTGAGGTGGTATCTCTATGGAAGTAGATTACCCAATCTTTCTTCCAAGGAGTGGCTGCTGGGTTTGAACCACCAGCCTTCTACTTTGTAGTCAAATGCCTTGGGCAATTTCAAGTATGACACTGAAAAGCTGTTAAAAAGTAGTAAGAGGAGTTATACTGTTTCCATTTGATTTTATGTGAAATAACCCTTTTCCTGAATATTTTATTTGGATGGCAGGAGTGATTGGCAGCAGAGTGTGACATAACATTGGGTTCAGCATGGAGACAACCTAAGAAGCTTCAAGAGTTCTTGTTGTTGTTATGTGCTGTTGAGTTGGACCCGACTCATAGCAACCCCTCCTTGGGTTTCTGAGGCCGTATCACTACGGATATAGATTGCCCAACCTTCCTTCTGAGGAATGGCTGGTGGGTTTGAACCACCAGCATTCTGGTTAGCAGTCAAGTGCCTCAGGCACTACACTACCAGAGCTCCAAGAGTTCTTAGCGCTGTAGAATTAGAATAGAATGAGAGTAAGTTTTAAAAACATCTGGTTTGGGTCAAGAGACACTGTGTAGAACTTATCGAGATTAATAACATTTGCCCCCCTTCCATGTGAACTGATTTCCATGGTGAGCAATTAGTTGAGCTCCGGCAACTGTTGGATTTTAGAGGGGATAAGACACAATGGTTAAGTGCTTGGCTGCTAAGGGAAAGTTTGGTGGTTCAAACCTACCAGCTGCTCTGTGGGAGAAAGATGTGGCATTCTGCCTCCATAAAGATTTCTGCTTTGCAAACTCTGTGGGGCAATTCTACTCTGTCCTATACCAAACCAAACCAAACTCACTGCCGAGGAGTCAGATCCGACTCATAGCAACCCCTCCGTGGGTTTCCGAGGCAGTGTCACTATGAAGTAGATTGCCCAACCTTCCTTCTGAGGAGTGGCTGGTGGGTTTGAACCACCAGCCTTCTGGTTAGTAGTCAGATGCCTTAGGTACTATGCCACCAGAGCTGTGTCCTATAGGGTCCCTATAAGTTGGAATCAACTCAATGGCAGTGGGTTTGGAAGACATGGAAGATTTGAAGCATAAGAGGTCTCAAGTAGGAGTTAAAAACACTTTGAAAAAGAGAAGGTCAGGAGTAAAAGGTAGAGATTTTCATGAAGACAAATTTTAGGACTATAAAATAATAATCATTCCTTGACTCATTAAATAGATATTTAACATCTAGATGAAGTATTGTGCACTGCTCTGGGGACGCAGGGATGACTTAGAGCTATTGCCTTTGAGATGCTCTTAGTCTATTGAGGAAGCTACTCCTAGATCAACAAGTGTCATATTAGAAACTTGTACCAGGCTCTATGTGGAGAAAATACTGAGGAATGAATGGCTGCTTGATTATACTGGAAAATGCATATGACGTAATTGAAAAATAGGCTGTAACACTCACATACATACTGTGATTACAATTATGTTCTTTTCACAGTTAAAAATTTTAAAGCAATATATTTTACAATAAAATAATGAAAATTTTCTATATTTCTATCTTAAACTATACTTTGTATAATTTTTCTTTTTAATTTTTAGGCATTTTTTACACTTGCACGAGATATAATGACAAAACTCAACAGAAAAATGGTTTGTATCACTTAATAGTTTTTGTTTTAATTATAATAGTTTTTTATTTGGCATTTGATAAAAAGGATTGACACAGTAGCTGCAACAATGGGCTCCAACACAGTAATGATTATGAGGATGGGGGCAGGGCTGGTCAGTGTTTCGTCCTGTTATACATAGAGTCGCTGTGAGTCCGAACAGACTCTATGGCACCTAACAACACAAAAAGACTAGGACTGATTATAGTATAGTCACATTAAATTGGTTTGGTTTTTTTCCTTACTTTCATAGTTGCCTGGTTGAACTTGGGTCTTATTTCTGCCAGGTGTTTCAATTCTTTCATCTGGCTCTTTAAGTTGTCTTTAACTGAATTGTGATCAGAATAGTTAAAATTAGTAACAACACAAACTAAACTTTAGCCATAAAATTATACAGTTCAGTTTTCATGTGATAGACATTTTTATCTACAAATAATTATGATCTTGAAATTGCTCATGTTTGCTTAAATTTGAAGATACCCCAGTACTGCAGTTTGCTTTAACCTAAGTCAATTGCACACCGTATGTTACCCATATTCTTCTTACCTCTGACAACAGATTGTCTGTACCAGTAGCTTCACATTTTCCATCATTAACCTTGAAACTCTACACTCCATTGGCTATAATTTCTTTGGACTAGAAATGGGAGCATCCTAATATATTATTAATATAAAACATGCTATCCTAAAAACATTTGTCTCTTTTTAATCCATCATTTCCAAAGAAAAAGACACAACATTGGAGCTTAACTAGTTCTCTTTCGAATAAAGTAGCATAGTGAATACTTTGTTATTGGTATAGTTTGGCATATTTTAGGTTAATTGGGGTTAAACCATGAAACTTTTCTTTCTTTTTTGGTAACCTCACCCTCTATTGTTTAGAATGACAGCAATTCATCGGGGGCAGGGGGACCAGTGAAAATAACAGAAAATCGATCAAAGAAGACCAGTTTCTTCCGCTGTTCGCTACTTTGATGAACTCATTCTGAGAGACTGCAGCACACCTAGAGGAACCTTTCCTGCTTCTCTGAAAGCACAGGTCACCCAGCCTCAGAATTACACCGCCCGGCTGCTGCTGAGAGCATCACTGAACCTGACCTCTCAACACAAAATGCCAAGTGGACTCGGCCTCAGGGCCTAGCAAAATAACAGGCTCCTTTTTTCAAACACGGAAGCAGTGAAGTGGAGACACATGTGGGACTTACCTTGTTTTTCCTTTGTTTTATTGCCTATTGCAGAAGCTGCTATCTTTCTTTTCACTTTGCATATCAGTATTAGCTGTTCCCTTTTAACAACACAGTCTTAGACTCGGATGTGCACAGTTTTGTCTCATGAAATTCTAGACAGATTTGTGCGTTTGGTAATGTTTAAAAGAAGAGTAGAACATTTAAAGCAGAAGTTAATATACTAAAATTAAAGAACATTTGGTCCACTTCTTATGGCCTTATGTTATTGCATTGGTAGCATTTATTAAAGGTTTCTGGTTTGTGATTTTCTTAAATAAGAATCATTAAACTCTGGTGAGATTTGTTTTAAAAATTCATAAAAATGGCATCTCTTCACCAGAGGCCACATTTCTTTATTTCTTGAGATTGTTTAGAGCTTTGCTTCATTCCAGACCTCTTTGCCACAGAGCATCTGGGTAGCTAAAGGACTCACTATTTTAAGTTGTTTACCTCTGCCCAATCTTTAGAAACTGCATTTGGAAATCTCCTTCATCTCACTTTTTCTAGGATTTGTATTTACTGTCCTTTCCTGTGTTTGAGCTATCATTATACTCAGTTACCTAAAACATAACATATTTGAACACTTTTGTCTGTTTCTAATGGTGAACTTCTTGAGGTGAAATTTTACATAGGCAGAGAGGTGTACCATTTAAGGTTTTATTTCTGAATCTCTTTGTGGTTTTGTCACACTAGGATACTCAATATATTTTTTTCTTTAGGTTAACCTCTTAGCTTGCTGATTGAGTTATATCACCTAATTCCTGCCATAATCCCTGTCTAAAGAGTTAACAAGAGTTAGATTTAGATTTTAGTTTGCAGAAAGCTTACCTGTAGAGAGAGAGATTAACTTGTTGACATAAATTTCATAGGGATAGATAGCTGTTGGTGATGGTGATAAGTTTTGGCTTCCCTTTTATTCAAGTGAAGTGTTTATTTTTAAACAATAATGGACCTTGTGCAACCTCTAGGAAAAATCTTGCCTTTTCATTAGAAAAAATATGAGCAAGATTTTAGTTTTAAAATAGCTGTTGTTTAATGTGTAAAACCTAGTTCCATCTGTTCAGGTTCATTGTCCTAAAACTTGGTCCAATCATTTAGGCTAAAGGCAATCAAAAGCTTTGCCGCCTTTCTCATTGAACAAATGGTACTAGTATACGTTTTGTAGATAAAATCATCACATAAGAAAAAAAGGTATTCGGTGTTAATTTATGTCCTAAAATCTAGATTGCTTTGTCATTGCTGTTATTGTAGTCTTCAGTCTCATTACACAGAAGGGGATAATAAAAAGGTGATTAGGGAAATGAATTCTGTTAATAATTCTTTTTCCTAGTATGCCTATTTTGCTTCATAAAGAGTACCATCATGCTTGATAATTAAGAATGGGGAATGGATGTGGAAATGGATTACTTGTTACCACAGAGAATTCGACTTCAAATTAAGATGTGTAGTTAGAATGCTTGGACCAATCAACCTTTTCTATCTGTTTGAAAATTTATGCACAGTTTAGTGGAAGCAAGTATAGTAGATCTGTTTTTGATGGGTACAAAATACTAAACTTATTGTTGACAAATTCCAGCCTTCCTTTTTTTTTTTTTTGTAGTTACCTAGATAGGTTGTTTAAAAAAAGAGTAGGCCATTTAAAGCAGAGGTTAATGCTAAAATTGAAGAACATTTGGTCTCTTGCTTCCCGATAGTAGTTCCCTGATTGAAAGTTGATTTTTAAGTTTTCTGCCTTTGAATTAGATACATTTTTGGAAAAGAAAAATAATTTCTTAGAAACATCCTGTATTCATTAATTTTCTAAAAAAGTATCCAAGCAGTGAAGCTTTCTGGATGGTAACAAAGTACTTTTTAAGGGGCAAGTGTCATGACACCATGTATGAATGTACTTCTCTTAGTAATTTACCTCTGACTATTTGGTGTCTTAACACTTTGGTTTATATCTCAGGGGTTGTCTGCAAACCAAAACTGACATATTCTTTTTTTTTTTTTTTTTAACAGAGTACTATGCTTCTGTTGTATGTCTTCTCTCTTCTTTTGTCTTATATGGGATAATAACTAGTCTCCATGAACTTCCCTTTGAAAGAGCCTGTAAAAGTTAGATGAGCCTAAAAGTGCTCTTTGAAGTAGCGGCAAACTGGGGTTATATGTTCTGTTGTATAGAAATGAAATGTCCTTGCTATTTTCTTACATTTAGCTTTGCTAAATTGTATATAATTTGAGCTAAGACCATAGGAAATTCACTTTCTGCATGGTAAAATGACCCAATAAATATTCCACTTTGCTTAATAATGTACATATAGTACATTATTTTTTCTATTTGTAGATGAATTTAGTGACAGATAATTGTCTGTTCCCTGCTGAAACTGAAAAATTCTAGTTTTGTGTGAACATACCTGTGGTCTTACAGATAAGGTACATGAAGATTTTTGCAGCAGTGTTAGTGGTTCAGTGGCTGCACTTTATTATCAGTGTGCTCATTTTTGACAATGATTGGACTAGACCTTTTCAAATAGTCTGAGCATATCAGACAGTGAAAATGTGCTGTAACTGAGTCGCATGTAAATCAGTTGATTGTAAAATGTTTCACTGGGAACTTATTTTAGCTCTATTTTACTTCAGACAGATTACAAGAAAATAATCCACCTGTGCGTCAGTAGGTGCTGCAGGGTTTCTTACTATTTACAGGAACATTTTGTGCAGTCTTTGTTGTAAATTTTCAGAAGACTATATACTCTTTACTTTGAAGGACTATTTTTTAATTATACCTCATTTAGCTAACTAGTATTCTAATATCTCGTAGAAAAACAGTGAGCCAGCCTGTAAGCATTCTACGAAATCTAGATGGTATGTTTTGTTTTGAACTAACAGCATCTTTGGGAAAGGTAGGAGGTATTTTAGTTTAGAATAGAACATACATGCCATATCCAGTAGTGGGAGGGGGGAGTACTCTCTCCCTCTCTCCATTAATAAATTTAGCTGTGCAATATAGATAAATTTTTGCCGAAGTTTCTATGTCAGAGATTATAACTCCATTTTACAGTGTTCTGAATGCTAAGAATCTGTATTAAGGCTTACAAAGTTTTTCCTGTGATGAGTAATTGATACATTTAAGCAGACACTTTTTCTAGTTCATGACTTGGATTCCTTAATAAATTTAATTTTTAATCTTTATAGGTGAACTTCTAAGCTTAAATTTTTAAAACCACATTTCATTATGCTGGCTTACTTAGCTCAGATTTTAAACTCTTATTTCTGGAATCAGAATTTTTAGAAAAAAAAAATTTTAACAGAAAAGACATCCCTTTTTCCAGCCGAAGAAGAAAAAAAATGAATGTTTAAAAATAAAATCCCTTGACCTTAGAGGGACAGGATAGACTAATAAAATTAATGGCTGTCATTGTCACTATGAAAAAAATAGGCTGAAATGTACAGAAATGAAAATTAGCAATTATTTTAGAGATTTTTCAGATTTTACTTTATCTTTTGAAATTCTTGTGCCACATTCGGTTGCATTTCTTGTTGCCAAGAACTACAGAACCTCTTATTTCATTTTCTTACTTTTTTAAAAAATGTGAATTTAATCACTGTCGTTCATTCCTATGGCCTTATAGTTAGGTTTACTTTGTTTGTTTGCAGCTGACACTGCAGTTCCTTTAGTCCAAAATCTCATTAACTATTTGACTAAAATCATGCCCCTAAAGGAAAATACCTAGTTTTTCCATGAAAGTAACCTATTGTGTGTGGTAAAGCATATTTTATTTTTGCTACAGAGCTTAATATGAAAAGCTCCTGCAGATAAAGTAGACCTGTCATGTGGTTCAACTTGTTTAAGCCAGTTCATTAACTGTGTACTGATACTGATGCTGTGGTTTTTTGTTTGTTTGTTTAATGGATTTTATTCCAGGTGAACTTTTTTTTTTTACAATAATTTTCATTTAAAATAAAGACTACATAATGAAAATACTCATGACTCACTGGATTCCACATTTTAAATTGTTTCCTTCAAATTTGCTAGGTGTGTGGCTGTGAACATGATAGATTTGAGATAGTTTAGCAAGTAACACAATTTACTGCACCTGCTCATCCTAACGATGTTCTGCTTCTGTGCTTGTTGCATGGTTCCTAGTTATAGCCTTTTCAGTTTACCCCCACAACTACTTCAGACATTCATGATTCTTCTCAAGCTTCCTGCCAATCTTTCCTTTCATTCTTCGAAGACACACCTTTGATCTCCAACTTCACAGAGAAAAGTATTAGTCTAAGACCACCTTAGCCTCCTCTCTCTCCCCAACCTATAGCCTACCAAGAGCTGGCTGCTCTGTTTTCTTTCACTTAGAGAACTTTGTACTTGTCATTTCATCTCTTCCTTATTTCCCACTTTTGCTAACTCCTAAGCTGAGATTTGAAGAATGAGTTGTGTTATCTTCTTTAGTGAAGCCTCACACGTTTGGATTGAGTGCCCTTTTCATATACTTTCAGAGTACCTATAATTTTCTGAGGTGCTCTGGTGACACAGTGGATGGGGGACTAAGACTTAACTGAAATGTGGTTAAAATACCATGAACACATATTCCCCCAACTAAGCTCTGCATGTTAAGGAAGGGTTGAAGACATTGTTATATATATAATTTTATTTGTTATTCATTACCTTGCCTACTTCCAGAAAGTATTTAAGGCAGCTTTAATGAAGATATATACCAAAAAACCAAACTCACTGCCGTCAAGTCGGTCCCGACTCATAGCAACCCTGCCTTGGGTTTGCAAAGCAGTATCACTGTGGAAGTATATTCCCCAACATTCCTTCTGATGAGTGGCTGGTGGGTTTGAACCACCAGCCTGCTGGTTAGCAGTCACCACCATAGCTCCCTAATAAAGATATGATCAAATCATTGAAATACAGGTAAAAGAGTAAGTCATATTCTGAAGTCATGGCAGCAGTTGGGGGGGGTGGTTATAGAAGTTTAGTTGCTATAGTCCAGTATTCAGTTTAGCTCCCTGCTTCCCAGGAGTCAAGGTAAAGCCTGGTTATGATTAATTAGATATCCTTTTTAACTGAGTGTTTTGGTTACCTAGTGCCGCTCTGACAAGAATATACCACAAATGGGATGGCCTGAACAAACAGGAGTTTATTCTTACAATTTGGAGGCTGTAAGTCCAAGTTCAAAGTGCTAAGCTCTGGAGGCTGGGTGAAAGCCCCTCAACCTTGGCTTCAGCTCTGCCTCCTGGTCCTGGCCCACTGGAACAAGAGGCTTTTCTTCACTCAGCTGCTGGCTGCTGAGGCTGACAAGCCCAAGGTTGACAAGTAAAATGGCACAGTCCCGCTGTTACCAAACAACACGGCAGGCCATTGATTCAAGTCCATTGTCAGTTCCAGGATTGACAGACCATGGCAGGCTGCTGAACAACGACAGCACTACATGCAGGCTTCAAGCATGCCATAAGCTAGAGACCATTCCCAAAGCTGTTTCTTATATACAGGAAGCAGACCACATACCCAAAGCAGCTACTCAGCTGCTCCAATAGATTCCACCATGGGGTTAATTACCAATCTCACCATGGAGAATTACTACATTCAGTTGCCCAACCACTTAGCCAGGCCCAGCCAAGTTGACACACAAACATAATCACCACACTGAGCATCCAAATTTGTTAGGAGAAATCAAATTTCTTTCTCATCCTGAATTCAAGAGTAATTTAAACCATGCATCTATAAGGAATAGCGAATAGCAATAATGAAGCAGTTTTATAAAATACACATAAAAATGTAAATGGCCATTTCCTGTATAAAAATTTAAGCCAAGGATGTGAGTATATTATGTTTCTATGAAGGCATTTCTGCATGGAGTTAAAGTAATGGGATTGTATTTGGTAACTCTCCCCCAGAATCAAACCAAGACTATCTGTCTAATGGTGGGCCAGATAGTATCCCTCTGAACTGTCATCTCAACCTGAGTTTTGATAAGTGCCAGATAAGAGACAAATGGCAGGCACTTGTCATATTCAAGCCTTATTTATTCTGTGAGATAAATGGAAAATATATGTTTTGTTTTGTTTTGCTATGTATCTAGCAGTGTTCCCACCTTCTCCTCCCATATGTGTGTTTTAAGAGGTCAAAGGGGACATTTTGCCATAAGAATTAAATACTTCTGAAGATGGAGGAATAGGCAGACAAGTGACACAGACCCTCTTCAACAAAGAAAAGAAAAACCAATTGACAGAGATACAGAAGATAATCCTGGAGCCCTGAGCTTTGAAAGGAACTATACAGAAGTGGATTGGGCACCAACTAGTGGAAAAACCTTAACGAAAATAGTGACTACAGAGATGGTCGGAGCTGTGGACTGTCAGCTACTCTGGTGAGACCAACAGCCTGAATATTTCCATGTGGCGTTGGGACCTGAGTATTGACCTAAAGATCAATCCCAGTCACCAAGGGCTGCAGAGACGACTGATCTGGTGGCCTATGACTAGGAAGGGAAACAGCAAGGAGGGAGACAACCTGAGCTGTGGACTTTCTGCTGTTAGGAGGGTGCAGCCATTTTGGATATTTAAAGTGACCGAGGGCGTGGCCATTTTGGATATTTAAAGTGACCAAGGGTGCAGCCATTTTGAATGTTTACAAGTGGCAACCATTTTGGATTTTAAAGTGATAGCATTCTCATTCAGATTCCAGGGACCTAAGAACAGGTTCTGTTTGCTAGGATCGGCAAGGACATATGAGAGGCTGACAAAGGAAAGGAGACAGGTGGTGAGTGTATAAGTGCTGTCAACTAGTGAATAGAGGAGCATAGAACAGTACCCTGCCTGCATAGACGACATATAAACAAAGAAAACAAAAATTGTGAGCAAGTCACTCCAACATATAATCATCAATTAAATATAAACACAAACACATCACAATGCCTCAGAGACAATAGAGCATCACAATCCACACATCTTTGGCTTTGGTGGTTGGTGCATAAATTTGAATAATAGTTGTATTAATGGGTCTTCCTTGTAGGCGTATGGATATTACCCTATCACTGACAGCATTGTACTTCAGGACATCTTGAAACATCCCTTTGTGATGATGACTGCCACACCATTCCTCTTCAAACTGTCATTCCCGGCATAGTAGATCACATGGTTGTCTGATTCAAAATGGCCAAAACCCATCCATTTCAGCTCACTAATGCTGAGGATATCAATCTTTATGCATTCCATTTCATTTTTGACAACTTCCAATTTTCCTAGATTCATACTTGGTACATTCCATGTTCCGATGATTAATGGATGTCTGCAGCTGTTTCTCCTCAATTTGAGTGGCGCCACATCAGCAAATGGAGGTCTCGAAAGGTTAACCTTATCCATGTGAGTAAGGCTGGGTTTACTCTAATAATGCAGCTCTTTCCTAGTCCTATTTTGAGAGCCTTCTAACCTAACTGGACTATTCATAAAGTTGTGCAGTAATGTATCAGACAGTGTTTCTTTGCTATTCATAAGGTTTTTCCTGGCCAATTCTTTGAGAAGTGGACAGCCTCTTCCTTCTTCCTAGTCTGTGTCAGTCTGTAAGCTGGGCTGATACCTATGCACCATGTGCACCCTGCTGGGTTTGAAACACCAGTGGCTCAGCCTCAAAACACATCAACACGTCACCACAGTAGGACAAACCGACAGACAAGTTTGTCTCCCTGTTGGAACCTCTCCTACTACCCTTTTCTGGGTCTCTGCGGCTGACTCCTCCTCCATCCCGGTTCCTGTACCTTTTCCTCCCCTTTCTCCCGCTCTCCCACTCTGCTGCTTTGGGCATGCCTGGGTTCCCTCTCCTCACCTGGATCCCTGTGGCTCATTCCTCTTCTCGATCCCTGCAGCTCACTTCACTCATTCATCTTGTTGAATATATACAAAATAGCAGATGTTTATAAATTCTAGTTTTTGAATTATTTCATTAATTCAGCATGGTTAGTGAGCTGCTGACAGTACAGCAAAGAGAAAAACAAAGCCTCTGGCACTCCTGGAGTTTACACATTAGTGAAGGAGACGGGAAGTAAGCGTGTCTGTCAGAGGGTCAGACGCAAGGAGATGTTACAATTGTCATAGGATGGTGCAGAGACTGTCCGAAAAACTTCTTTGAAGACTTGGGAAAAATAAAACCATTTTGCTAAAACAACCATCAGAAGGACAGCATCTTCCCCTAGTTCGACCTTTTACCGTCTGTGAGTTATCTCCTGGATCACCATTATCTCAGCCCAGGATAATGGAGCATGAAGTTCCCTCAACTATGCGAACAGAAAATATGCTTTAAAAAGTAATCCCTTATAGTGCCTAAGGCACTTGACTGCTAACCGGAAGGCTAGGGGTTCAAACCCACCTGCCACTCCTTGGAAGGAAGGTTGGGCAATCTACTTCTGTAGTGATACCGCCTCGGAAACCCAAGGAGGGGTCGCTATGCGTCGGATCCGACTCAACCGCAGTGATTTTTATTTTATTTTATTTAAAAATGGAATCCTGCCTCCGTCTTGAGCTAAATCTTTCTTAGGCTGACCTGGAATCTTCTCCCGTTCTCGATGCATACGGTTCCGGTGACCTGATCAGTGTGGAAGTGTTCGGGGCTCAGGCCCTAAAGTAGCCAGGATCCGCCTCCAGATCAGGACCTACGCCGCGGGCCCCAAGGCCTGGTCTGTGCAAGGTCGGCCAGTGAGGCTGGAGCTCAGAACCTCGCAGCCCCGCCCCGCTCCGCCCAGTTGTCAAATTCCGGCCGGCGGTCGGCCCCGCCCCCGGCCTCTGCTCTGGCCAGTCCCCACCCCTTTCCAGTGCCTGGCCTTGCCCTGTCCCGCTCGCGTCCCCGCCCCGCGCCCCGCCCCTCCCGGGCGCCCGCGTCCCCGTCCCCGCCCCGCGCCCTTCTCTGACCGCGCCCCGCGCACCTCCGGTACCCAGACGGGCGCCCGGGTCCGCTTCTGCGGTCGCCATGACGGCGGCTGTGTTTTTCGGCTGCGCCTTCATTGCTTTCGGGCCTGCGCTCGCCCTCTACATCTTCACCATTGCCACGGAGCCGCTACGCATCATCTTCCTCATCGCCGGGTGAGGCTGCACCGGGAAACCCGGACGCCGAGACCTCCCTTCCTTCTGGGGACTACCGCCGACCCCCAGAGTCCGCACCAAACGGCTTGGTCTTAGGAGGCTTTGGAGGGCAGAGGGGATGAAGGGGAGAGCAGAGGCTCCGCTTCCCCGGGCCGCTCGGCCTCCTCCTCGGAGCTGCGGTGCTGGGGAAGGAGCTCATATTGCGGGTCTTTTTGCCTAGGGTCCGTGGGTGGGCTTTAATGGGTCGTGAAGCCCCTAAAATTGTATGAAAAAATGTGGATAAATTTGTATATGCGTTTTTCATTTTTCTGGAGGGAAAGTCCCTAAATTCCCTCAGATTCTCAAAGGCGTCTGTAATATCAAAAGGGTTAAAGCCACTAGGATCTAGGGCATTAGGTCTCATGCTTCGCCCATTAGAATCACCTGGGACCCGATGCTTTAATACATGTCGGTGCCTAGCACCTACCCCAGATTAACTGAATCAGAATGTCTTGGGGCTGAGATTCGGGCTTTCCATGTTTTTTTTTTTTTTTAAGATTCCCAGGTGATTCAGGTGTGCAGCCAGAGGGTAGAAACCACACCAAAGCACCTGACCGAACCTTTCTTTCGAGGAGTTAAGTAAATACCGAACTCTGGTGGCGAATGTGGGCATAATCCCAGTTTTCACCTGTTAGGCAGCCTTTGCCGGGACACAACCCTGACCTCTGTCCCAGATTTGAGTCGCACTTGCAGGCTAGGCCAGGGAGTCCCACCTTTTCTGAACTGTAAGTGATGCATGTAATGTGTCACTTTATAAAATAATAGACATTTGTAAGAAAAGGTTTGTAACACTTGTGATCATTAGAAGCAACATGAGTTGTTACAAAAACCAGGCCTGAAAAGCTGATCTGGATCAGAGCAAGGGTTTTCAACCTCTGAATTTTATACCATTCTATTAATAGATGTCTAGACATTTTTTTTTTTTTTTTCTGGAAAACACACATATTCGCAGATATCTGACCCTTAAATGAATAGTTTTTGGTAGGTTTTAAGGATATAAAAATTGCAGTAGTCATTGGTTGTACATTGTTTTGGCACGTCAGTGAGCAGAATATTGGCTAGGAAAAGTAGCACATGATTTCCAGCCTGGTGATGTATGGCAGATTTGGTCTGCAGATGTATTTGCAAATAGTGTGGTCACTGAAGAAAAGTAATTGTTAGAAAAATCCTACATTCCTCTTGGTCCACATGGAGAGGTCTCACTGGGGAGAATAGGAACTACTGATTTCAGACAACACCACCCCACACCAATTAAAAAATTGGGAAATCTGTTCCTTCTCAAGCAGTGTTGTTTTTTCCTTTTTAAACCGTTATTAATAGGGAGCTGTGGTGGCATAGAGCCTAAGGAGGCATTTCACTGCTAACCAGAAGGCTGGCAGTTCAAACCCACCTCTGTTATATAGGGGTCGCTATGAGTCGAATTGACAGCTGTGGGTTTTACATTTACTTGTAACTTTTTTTTCTCTGATTTTCAGAGCTTTCTTCTGGTTGGTGTCTCTGCTGCTTTCTTCCCTTGTTTGGTTCATGGCAGAAACCATTACTGGCCACAAAGATGGACCTGTAAAGAAATATCTGCTCATCTTTGGGGTGCTAGTCTCAGTTCTTATCCAAGAAGCCTTCCGGTTCGCTTATTACAGACTGTTAAAGTAAGTTGCAAGTCTGCTTTGCCTTTTTTTACCCCAAGATCTATTTGAATTATAGTTTAGTAACTTGAAACCCACCAACCACTCCTCGGAAGAAAGACTGGACAATGTACATCTGTAGAAATACTGCCTCAGAAACCCAAGGAAGGGTCACTGTGAGTCAGATTCGACTCAAGGGCAGTGAGTTGAGTTTAATTTGAAACATTACTATAGTGTGGTAATATGAGGACCAGTGCTTTCCTACATAGTTCTAAGGCAAGATATTGGTACATTTTCACCCTGGAAGTATTGAATATTCTTTTAACTTTAACTGTGGGTATTCATTCATTTGAAAAATAATTCTTGAGTATATAGTCAATGCCAGGCATTAGCCTAGATACTGGGGATACATCATCAGTGACTAAGAGTCCCTGCTCTCATGGAGCTTATATTCTAGTGGGAAGAAATAGACAACAAATGAATGAAAATAACAACAACAACAAAAATATATGTTAGAAGGCAATAAAAGCTATGGAGAAAAAGTAAACTAGAGAATAAGTCTTTAAAAAACAAAAACAAAAGTTCTAGTGCTCAGGATTGTTAGAATTTATATCTACTTCTCTTGAACACAACCTCAGATGAAAAAATATTATGGAGGTTACACCTATCATTATTTTGACTAAATTAGGGCAATACAGGGGTTCATTATGTGACATTTTATATGGTTTGAAATCTATAATAGAAAAATACATTTTTTTTTTTTTTAAATCCTTGAGTACAGGCTCCCTTTTTGGACCAGAGAGCAGATCATTTGTAAAACATGAGGACCTCATATGAAACCACAGATTTGAAACACAACTTGAACTTGGACCATAATTTCCCTCAGGCAGTCATGAGGTTGGCTTTGATTATTAGTAAGACTCAGTCAGGAGCATGACTAATGTGCCATCTTTTTTCTTTTCTGCAAATGAGGTAATTACAGCTGTCTTTGAACTACGTAGACAGACCCTCAACATTATCTCTTATAATAGGCTTCTAATAATTTATTCTTGCCAAAATGTTGGGCACTCTGTATTTCTTTCTTTTTTCTTTTAATGACAGATATTGAATTCCTTTGTAATAATGAGGCAGTTTAACTTTAAAATTCAAAGCCAGGAATGCGTTGGTTAGAAGCACAATTCCTGACTTGGAAAAGATTTAAAAATGAAATTCTCATTCATCCCTGGAAATATTAAAGAGCAACCGACACATATCAAAGATAACATTTAAATTTCTATAGAAATATATCCATAACAGATGGACATTCAGCTATAATTGAATGTTTCTGGTATGCGGCAGTTACCACCTTTCTGCAATTTCACTTTTAACTCTAGAATGTTACTAAAATACACAAAATCTTCCGCCTTTTGACTTCTGCCCCCACTCAAAAGCCACACAAGTGCATGAAATTTCTGCCACATGGTTCTCCTTATGTCCCTTTTAAGGCTGAATATTCCTCATTTCTTTACCAGAACCCCAGAAGCCATGAATGTGGTTACCAAACATTTCAATCTCTGGTCCCCTAAACATGCCATTTTGATTGGTGCCTGATTTTCACCTGTGCTCAGGACCTGGCACAGAATTCTGCAGGGTGGTCTAACTCTTTCAGAGAGCCCTGGCCCTTCCCACCCTTCACTGGGCACTATACTCTTAATTGCATTGGGTTTTCCTGTCAGCTACATCACTCACTCACTTTGCTCTTTAATTTTCATATGTGATGGTTCTAATTTTGAATTTCTAGTATAGAATGCCATAATTTACAACATGGGTTTGTAACCCCTTAGGACTTACACATTCTAAAACTTGACTTCCCCAAAGTGCCTAAGTGGGTACCTGCTGTTTTTCACCACCTCGTTTCTTCATGGTTTCCACCTGAAATGGCAACCTTTTCTTGACTCTAAGCTGTAGTTCCAAAGGACCATAAGTTGATGGGTTGCCATTTTTTTAATGAAGGCAGTAAGAAAGTAGGGCCACATGAGGAAGGAATTACAGATGTCAGTCTGAAGCTCATGCTGGGAAGTTCAGAGAAGCCTCTTTGGACTCCTGGGGAAATCATGTTTGCTTTTCTGAAAGGAACTTTGAAAATTTGCAACAGATGTAAATAAATGAATAATCTCTTTTATAAGGATCAGCACAAAACTAGTTTCTATGAGGTGGAGGTTAAAGATGAGCCATATGCCCACCTTTTCCAAACTGCTGTACCACTCCATGATCTCTAACATCAAATATTCCTCCTCTCAGTACTCTCACAGAACTCACAAACCATCAAGGAAATGGCTCATGCAGTTGTGGAGGCTGGCAAGTTCCAAATTAATTCATGGGTCAGGCATGAGGCTGGAAGCTTCTCGTAACATGGTTGAGGGGGCTGACAAACCCAGATCAGCAGGTCAGATGACCGGCTGCTAGCTCACAAGGCTACGGAAGCTGGTGAATTAGGCCAGATGATAGACTGCTGGCTCAAGAACCAGAGGTCAGATGATGACCAGCTAGATGCAAGATCCAGTGCAAAAGAGGGAACTTTGCCAGAGTATTTATATATGTATAAGATGCAGACTATACCCTCAAGAAAACACCCCTTACTTGAGCAAAGTAGTCAAGGGTTTAACTTGAATAAGGATGGTGACTTGAGTTATGCCCTCTAGTAAGGTGGTAACTCAGTATAAATCCCACCTTAATCCTGCCTCATTAACATAATGGACAACTCACTACCAAATAGACCATAACCATAGGCATAGAGGCTAGGATTTGCAACAAACCAAAATGGAGGATAATTATATCAAATTGCAAAATGGAGGGCAGCCATACAATACTGGCAATCATGGCCTAGCCAAATTGACACATAACCTCAACCATCACAGGATTCATCCACCTTATTTGCATGGTCCTACCTAATCACTATGTGGGAGTCACAAACAGTATGGCTAGAAAGGCCATTTTAAGTAATTCACTGCTTCTCAGTAAGACAATCCTGTATTACCAGGTACCTTTGTTTGCATTTGCAAAGGCAGATCTTTAGTGAGCCTTTGGAATATGGTACAAAATTATCCTAATACATTTTACAAATGATAGGTAAGTGTAATTATGTGTTAAGACAAGTTTGAGACTGTAATATGTCACTCTTAACTAATGTTTATGTAAAGCAAAACAAGACCTTTTGCTGTCAAGTCGATTCTATAGGGCAGAGTGGAACTGCCCCATGGGGTTTGTAAGGCTGTAATCTTTATGGAAGCAGACTGCCACATCTTTATCCTGTGAAGCAACTGGTGGGTTTGAACCTCCGACCTTTCAATTAGCAGCTAAGCATTTAACCACTGTGCCAGCAGGGCTTCTTATAACATTTATATAGAAACCTTTCAGTTGTACTCATGCTGCCCACCCACTGCTGTCAAATCAATTCTGACTCATAGAAACCCTGTGAACTAAACTAAACCAAACCAAATTCACTGCCATTGAGTCAATTCCAACTCATAGCAATCCCCATTGGATTTCCAAGGCTGTAAATCTTTACAGAAGCAGACTGCTTCTTTCTCCTGAAAGTTGCTGGTAAGGTCGAACTGCTGACTTTTGGTAAACAGCCAAGCGCTTAACCACTGTGCCATCAGGGTGCCTTTCTTATGCTGAACTACATTTAAATATAGTGGTTTAATAAGTGTTTTGTTTCTCTTCATTACCGAAGTAAATTTTGAACTTTTAAGTTTATTTACCAGAATCACATCTTTGCTATCTAAATTCGGTGCCAAGTTTAAAATGCGGAGAGTTTACATTCAGTTCTTACGAGTATATGGAACTGAATCAGATTTGTGCTGTCTAGTATAAATTTATGAGTTAGACCTTAGGGACAGTTATTTCATCATGAATGAATAGCTTTCTGCTTGGCAGAGGGCTGTGTGGTGAGAAATTGACTTGTGGCCACAAGTGGAAGCTTTCCTTACATTAATAGTAATAAGATAAGAAAAAGTCCAAAGAATAACTGTAAATGGCCTGAAATAGATGTTAGGTTTCTTTTTTTTTTCCTGTTTGAATTGAAACTTGTAATATATTTTAATTTTCTCTTATAATGCTGATACCATAAGCATTTGTTAATAGTAGAAAATCTTTCATTTATAGAAATTAAAAAAAGTAAGATAACCATTGGCAGTAGTTCCTAAAAGGCTTAAGTGTTTTTAAAAATTTCTAAAATGGTGCATTTAATTTCTACATGTGTTCTCTCTATCACACATGCAAAGAAGAATCAGAATAAGGGAAACAGTATTATTTGCCTGTAGTTTTCCAAAGTTTGCATTAAGTAAAAGGTAGGCGAATTTTGTTCTTGGAACCAAAATAATAAATGCAAACAAAGAATTTTCCATTTCAGTAAATGCCACTTACATCATCAGTCTTGTGTTCTAACCATCAGGAACACGGGAACTGATGACATTTTGTGCTTTTTCACTTCCTAATGTGAACATTGAGAACTGTGAGCATCATAGACATTTCCTCCCACATACTTGGAACATAGAGTGAAGAAGTTTATTAAACTTCTGAATTTATATACTTAATGATATTTATTTATTTATTTATTTTTAAACCAACTAGTTGCTGTTGAGTTGATTCCATGTATGGCAACCCCAGGTGTGTCAGAGTAGAACTATGTTCCATAGGGTTTTCCTTTTTTTAACTTTCTATTGTGAGGGTAGAAAGTTTACAGAGCAAACCGGTTTTCCATTCAAGAATTCATAAACATTTTGTTTTGTGACATTGTAGTCCCTACAGTGTAACAGCATTCTTTCTACTTCCTCCCTGTGTTTACAGTTTCTATTCGTCTTTCTTTCCTCTCCCTTTTAGCCTTCTGAGCTTTATCCCAGGTCAGATGCTGTCCTTTTGATCTCATATGGTTTATTGTTCTAAGGAGTGTGTACCTCCCTAGTGTATCACCCCATATGCCTGTCTTTTGTTTAGCTGAAGGTTAAGACACAGGGTTCAGTTCCAGACCTGAGGGGTGACCAGGGGCCGTAGTCTTCGAATTTCACCAGTTTCTATCAGACCAGTAAGCCTGGCCTTTTTTTTTTTTTTAATTATCTTGAGTTTTGTTCCAAATTTTCCTCCCATTCTGCTGTGATCCTAATCAGAGTGGTCTGCAGTGGTAGCTGGGTACCATCTAGCTCTTCTGGTCTCAGAGTCATGGAGGCTGAGGTTCATGTGGTCCATTATTCCTTTGGACTAATTGTTTCCACGTGTTATTGATTTTCTTTACTCTTTGTTTTAGATGAGGAGAGACCAACAGTTGCACCTCAGGTGGCTGCTCAAAAGCTTTTAAGACCCTAGTGATTAATTATCAAAGTAGGATGTAGAACGTTGTCTCTGTGAACTATGTTATTGCCAGTTGACCTTGATGTCCCCTGAGACTATGATCCTGAGCCCCTAGGCCCAATAACTCATTCCCTCAGGGTGTCTGGTTTTGGCTTTGTTATATTCATGGATCTATTATACTTAATGTATTTGTGATAGAAGACCTTTGCTATACCAAATAGCAAAAATTTTGTTCATTACAGAGCAATTTATATAAAATAGAAATCCTCCAAAATTTGTTGATTCTACTACTTTGATGTATTTGTTGATGGAAATTATTACTATTATATTTCTCATAAGTTTTATTTAGCCTTTAATTGTGCTGGAAAATAAATATATGTTAATTTAGGAAAATTGGACATTTGAGTTGGTTACTGCTCCAAAGAAAGAAAAATCAAAACCCAAACCAAACCCATTGCCATTGAGTGACTCTATATTGTTGTTACTAGATGCCGTCGAGTCGTCTTCAACTCACAGCGAACCCATGCACAGCAGAATGAAACATGGCCTGGTCCCACGCCAGCTTCACAAGCCTTGCTATACTTGAGCCCATTTTTGCAGCCACTGTGTCAATCCATCTCATTGAGGGCCTTCTCCTCTTTCGTTGACCCTTCAGCTCACCAAGCATGAAATCCTTCTCCAGGGAATGGTTCCTTCTTACAACATGACCAAAGTAGATGTGAAGTCTGGCTATTCTCACTTCCAAGGAGCATTCTGGCTGCACTTCCTCCAGGACAGATTTGTTAAGTTCTTTTAGCAGTCCATGGTACTTTCAGCATTCTTCACCAGCACCACAACTCAAAAGCGTGGACTCTTCTTCAGTCTTCTTTATTCATTGTCCAGCTCTTACATGCATATGAGGCAATTGAAAATACCATGGCTTGTGTCAGGTGCACCTTAGTCCTCAAGGAGACATCTATGCTCCTCAGCACTTGAAAGAGGTCCTTTGCAGCCAACTTGCCCAGTGCTACATGTCATCTGATGTCCTGTCTGTTGCTTCTGTTGGCGTTGATTATAGAACCAAGCAATGTGAAATCTTTGACAACTTCAATCTTCTCTCCATTTATCATGATGCTGCTTATAGATCCAGTTGTGAGGATTTTTGTCATCTTTATATTGAGATGTAATCCATACTGCAGAATGTACTCTTTAATCTTCATCAGTAAGTGCTTTAAGTCGTCCTCACTTTCAGCAAGCAAAGTTGTGTCGTCAGCATATTGCAGGTTGTTAATGAGTCTTCCTCCAATCTTGATGCCATGTTCTTCTTCGTATAGTCCAGCTTCTCAGGTTATTTGCTCAGCATATGGATTGAATAAGCATGGTGCAGGATACAACCCTGACGCACTCCCTTCTTGATTTTAAACCATGCAGTGTCCCCTTGTTCTGTTTGAATAACAGCTTCCTGGTCTATGTACAGGTTCCTCCTAAAGTACAATTAAGTGTCCTGGAATTCCCATTCTTTTCAATGTTATCCACAATTTGTTATGATCCATGCAATCTAATGCTTTTGCATAGTCAATAAAACACAGGTGAACATCTTTCTGGTATTCTTTGCTTTGAGCCAAGATCCATCTGACATTAGCAATGATATCCCTCATTCTACGTCCTCTTCTGAATCCAGCTTGCATTTCTGGAAGTTCTCTGTCAATATACTGCTGTAACCATTTTTGACTTATCTTCAGTAAGATTTTACTTGCGTGTGGTATTAATGATATTGTTTGATAATTTCCACATCCTGTGGGATCACCTTTGTTTGGAATGGGTACAGATATGGGTTTCTTCCAGTCGAGCAGGTAGCTGTCTTCTAAATCTCCTGGCATAGCCGAGTGAGTGCCTCCAGTGGGGCATCCGTTTGTTAAAACATCTCAATGGGTATTCCGTCAATTCCTGGAGCCTTGTTTTTCGCCACTTCAGTGCAGCTTCAACTTCTTTCAATACCGTTGGTTCTTGATCATATGCCACCTGAAATGGATGAATATCCATCAGTTCTTTTTGGTGCAGTGACTCTGTGTATTCCTGCCATCTTCTCTTGATGTTTCCTGCATCATTCACTATTTTGCCCACAGACTCTTTCAGTATTGCAACTCAAGGCTTAAATTTTTTCCTTAGTTCTTTCAGCTTGAGAAATGCCAAGCGTGTTCTTCCCTTTTGGTTTTCTAACTCATGTCTTTGCACATTTCATTATAATAATTGACTTTGTCTTTTTGAGCTGCTCTTTGAAATCTTCTGTTCAGCTCTTTTGTCATTTCTTCCATTTGCTTTAGCTACTCTCTGCTCAAGGGCAAGTTTCAGAGTTTCTTCTGACATCCTTTTTTGGTCTTCCTTTCCTATCTTTTCAATGACCTTTTTCTTTCTTCATGGATGTTCCTGATGTCATCCCACAATTCCTCTGGTTTTTGGTCATTGGTGTTCATTGTATCAAATCTGTTTTTTAGATCTCTGAATTCAGGAGAGATATATTCCAGGTCATATTTTGGCTCTTGTGGACTTGTTTTATTTAATTGTCTTCAACTTCAGCATGCATATGAGCAGTTGATGGTCTTCTGTTCCACAATCAGCTCCTGGCCTTGTTTTGGCTGATGATATTGAGCTTTTCCATTGCCTCTTGCCACAGATGTAATCAGTTTAATTCCTTTATACTCCGTCTGGTGAAGTCCACATGTATAGCCACCATTTGTGTTGAAAAAAAGGTATTTGCAATGAATAAGTCATCAGTCTTGCAAAATTCTATCATGCGATCTCCAGCGTTATTTCTATCACCAAGGCCACTATAGGACAGAGTACAGCTGGCCTATAGGGTTTCCAAGACTGTAAATCTTTAGGGAAACAGACTGACTCATACCTTTCCTACTGAGCTTTAATAAATATGCGTCAGAGTTAATATAATTGAAATATTTGAATCAGGATCTTAATATTGCTTCAGAGTTTTCCAACTAGCAAAGATTAGTAATAGGGACAATAGTGGAATCAACTAGCCACACCTTGTATTCCTACATATCTGCATGAGGAAGGGAGGGTTCTTGGTAAGTTCATAACAGATGCATGGATCAGATCACACTAAAGATCATTTCTACTTGAGTAGTGTTCTATCCTTTTATTCATATACTCATTTATCTCTGATTCTGAGGGCAGCATTTTATTCTGCAGGATACAATAAAAGTGTCAGACTTCTCTCATTCCTGAAGGCTAATTAGAGATATAAAGCAAGCATGTAAACTATTTAGAATCAAAAGACCATAGGATTAAGTATCCCTATGAAAGTTCAGATCATCAGTATTGTGGAATTTAAGAACAAAGAGAGATTAATGATTACCAGTCATTGGTAAAAGCAGCTTCTTTTGAAAAGTTGCTACTTGAACGAGACTCTGAAAGATGAGTAGAATTTAGGTTTGATGGAGTGGGAAGTGAACGGTAGGGTGGCAGAATAACCATATCCCAGGCAGAAGGTAACAACATACCAGCAAAGTGGGGATGAAGGTATAGTACTTTGCAGAGAGCAATGTGGTAGATCCCATGGGATACTGAGCTGAATATGTATTGGACTCAGAAAGTAGTCAGAAGTACTATCTTTTAGCAAAAAAAAAAAAAAAACCTCAATCCCTGCTAGCTTGTTTACTTACATTTTTCTTTCCTTTATGTAAAGCTCAAGGAGCTCTGGTGGCATAGCAGGTAAGGCAATTTGGTTGCTAACCAGAAGGTAAGCAGTTCAAACCTGCCACCTGCTCTGCAGGGGGAAGATGAGGCAATCTACTTCCGTAAAGATTTATAGCCTTGGAAACCCAATGGGGGTTGCTATGAGTCAGAATAGACTTGATGGCAGTGGGTTTGGTTTGGTTTTTGTGAAGCTCAGCAAAAAGGCAAGAGTGGGTTGGTTTTTTTGATTGATTTTAGTTAATTGAAAGTTTGCTATATTTAGTTTAAATGAATTTCAGACTTGGTGTATAACCTAATCAAAAGCCTTAGTAAGTATCAGAGTTTATAGTATCTTGTGTCGTCTCCTGTTACACTGTTTTTCCTTTTTTAGAAAAAATTACATAATTGTACAATCATATATAATATGCTTTTATTTCAGAAAAGCCAATGAGGGTTTGAAGGCTATAAACCCAGATGAGACAATACCTTCTATGCGACTGCTGGCCTATGGTAAGTTAGAACTGGATGGTATATAATTTTTTTAAAAAAATCAGTCATTTTTATTTTTTGTATCTTTGTAAGTTTCAAATGATATTTTATTCTGCCTTGGCCTCGTGGTATCCATTATTTGTTTATTTTTCCAGTTCTCTAAGGCCTTTAGGTAAAGGAAGGCAATTGCAGGTGAGCCCTTATCTGTGTTTATTAATGAGTAACTAGGTTTGAAAGCTAGGTTTTTAACATGTATACACTCTAGTTAAGGAGCCCTGACACTTGGCTGCTAACTGGAAGGTTGATGGTTTGCACCCATTCAGCAAAGAAAGACCTGGCCATCCACTTCCATAGAGATTACAGTCAAGAAAACCCTGTGAGGCAGTTATGCTCTTGTCACATGGGGTTGCTGTGAGTTGAAATTGACTCGATTATAACTAACAGCAATAATGACATGCTCTAGTTATCTAACAGTTTCTAAGTGACATATCTGTTAACTTCTCTGGATGTTTACCACCACTCTAGCTGTACTAGGAGAACTCAGTGTTATTGCAGTTAATTTTGTTGTTAGCTACCATCAAGTCAGTTCTGACTCACAGTGATCCTGTGTACAACCAAACGAAACACTGCCTGGTCCTGCGTCATCCTCACAGTTGTTGCTCTGTTGTAGCCCATTGCTGCAGCCGCTGGGTCAGTCCGTCTTGTTGAGACTCTTCCTATTTTTCACCGACCCTCTGCTTTACCAAGCATGGTTTCCTTCTCTAGCCACTGATCTCTCCTGATAACGTGTCCAAAGAAAATATATGAGACGATGTCTCATCATCCTCACTTCAGAGGAGCATTCCCATTTTATTTCTTCTAAGACAGATTTGTTTGTTCTTCTGGCAGCCCATGGTATATTCAGTATTCTTCACCAGCACCATAATTCAAAGGCATCAATTCTTCTTTGGTCTTCATTATTAATTGTCCAGCTTTTGGAAGCATTTGAGGTAATTGAAAATACCGTTGTTTTTTTTTTTTTTAAACTTTTTATTGTGATTTGGGTAAAAGTTTACAGGGGAAATTTATTTTCCATTCAGCAGTTCATACACATTCTGTTTTGTGATGTTGATTGTGACCCCCACCATGTAACAGCTCTTTTCCCACTTCTTCCCTGTGGTTACCTTTTCCCCGTGTCCATCTTTCCTATACATTCCTGCTTTCTGAGCTTTCTCCCTGCCATAAATGCTGCCCTTCTAATTTCTCATGGTCGATGGTTCTAAGGAGTACTCCTACCTTATATAATTGTTAACCTCTAGGCCTATTGAAAAAGCTCTGGTGGTGTAGCATTAAAAGCATTAGGCTGCTAACCAAAAGGTTGGTGGTTCAAACCCACCAGTCACTCTACAGAAGAATGATGAGGCAGTCTGCTTCCATAAAGATTTACAGCCTTGGAAACCCAGTGGGGGTCACTATGAGTCAGAATTGACTTGATAGTAGTGAGCAAGTAGCTCTGTTGTTTGGCTGAAGGTTAATCCGCTGGTGTGAGTTCAGTTCCGGCCCCAAAGGGTGACTAGGGGGTCAAAATCTCATCTTTGCTTTTTTTTTTTTTTACATACTTTTTTTTTTTTTATTAGGATTTGGGTGA